CCCCTTTGCACGTGGCTGTGAGAACGGGTCAGTACGACTGCGGGGAGCACCTCATCGCCTGTGAAGCAGATCTCAATGCCAGAGACAGGGTAAGTACCAACAACTTCTTACCTGTCAGCTATCAGGTGGCATCAAGCTGCTGTCTGCCTCGATAGTTCCACTTGCCTGTAAAAATCCCCAGCTAGGCAGTTGGGGCTGGGCCACGGTGCTAGACCAGCAGGACTGACGCTGTGGTCCATGTCTTGTGCCTCTAGGAAGGAGACACACCAATGCATGTAACCGCTACAAAATGATCAGGCTTCTGATTCTGTATGGAGCAGATCTAACTGTAAAGAACTGTGTAAGTAATAGCAAAAAAATACAGTAATTCAAAATGCTTTAGCGTAAGTTTACCTTCAGAGCAGTTTCATAGGTTTCAATGCCAGGAGAGACTATTGTGAACAGACTTAATTAGATCACTTCAGAGTTAATTAAAGCAGAGCTGACACAGGGAAAGTATAACTTGCGTGAGGTCAGGGAAAAGAGGAAAAACCCGTACCTCTTCTAAAACCAGAACCCATCAGCTGCAACTTAAAACAACATCACCTCTTTCTACAATTTATTTTAATTACACATATCATATATTGAAAAGACAGGATATACAGACACTTGCTCTCTGCACAACTCCTGGGCTTCAACCACCATTGAGAGACTGAAGATCTTAGCTTGTTAAAGAGAAATTTTTCTGTTAAGCCCACAGCTGATGGCGAGCCCCAGCACAACATCTGAATGTCCGGCTGTTAACCTGACCATTGGGCAAGAAATCCCCATGGCTCAGCAGAGCTTCAGTTTAAGAAGATCCACACCTGACTCTTTGCTCATAGCCACCGCAGCAGCAGTGTTGCTGGAGCTCTGTGACCACTTGTTAAAATATAGCACATCATGGACCCTTTCTCCCAAACACAAATCAAGCAGCAGTGAGATGGACGGTGGGTTTTACCAATGCCAGTCAATGTTTTTCATTGGCAATCAATCAAAACTTAAGGAGGCAAGGAAGAAACTAGTCACTGCAGCACTTTTACACTCCTTACTCTCTGCCCACACCCCCTGAAGCAGGGCCACTCCTGGCATTATACTTCATCAGGGTATGAAAACAATGACAAGTATGGCCCCAAAGACCAAAGACTTGCTCTCTCAGGCTTCATCTGCACACAAAAGTTGCTCCTGTTTAAATGTGGTTCATAACCTAATTAAACCAGTACAAACTCTTATCTGAATTCTCAATTAAACAGAAGAGTATCTTATTGAGGTTTCATCTAAATGTGTTTCTAATCAGTTTAAACTACATCAAAAGAAACACCTACATGCTCTGCTAGTCACAGTATTTGCTAATATGGCTTAGACCCACTGAAACCCAGGGAGATTTCATCACAAGTCTGACCAAGACTGGGACTACATCTGTAGAGCAAAAGGACTCTGATCTCAGGGAGGCAAGAGTAAGTCTGACTGTGTGTGTGCAGAAGGGCCTCACATCAGGCAGATGCACTGTACAAATATTTAGGGAATAAGAAAGGACTCTGTAATCACTGGCTGAAAATAAATCTTGCTGCTTCTGCTTTTTTACCTAGCAAGGGAAAACCCCTATGGATCTTGTTCTTCAGTGGCAGAACGGCACCAAAGAGATATTCAACAGCCTGAAAGACAATTCTTATAAGAGCGTCCATCTAGGCAAGTTCTGAAGAGAGAAACAAGACAGCTCTCTTTTTGCTGCTTTTAAATGCTTCATATGAACCTAGAGGAAAATAGCCCTGAACATAGTATTTGTATTGAAAATATTTATGGTACTGGATTATTTGAGGAATCTTCACTGAAAACTGCGAAACAAATGTGCAAAGAAAATATTTTAAAAGGCAGGTTGAGTGTTAAAATTCCACTGGTTCTAAAATGGCTTTATTTATTACTATTTATTATTTATTTATTTAAGAAGTAATTTTTAATTATTCTCAGCATTATTGTAGCTTTTTTTAATAGAGCTTTACATCCTAATGCAATCTTTGCCAGCAACTCAAATCCTTTTGTCTTAGATGGCAGTATTTCCAATTACATTAGCAACTTCCCCTCAAGCCTTCCAATAGCTCTGAATAGTGAATACTGGCAACTGTTGCCTTGTCTCTGCCAAATTCTCACTATTAAAATAATATGTTAATTAAGTGGTGATACATGGAAGAGCAATGGAAGAAGGTGTACTGAAGTGCCAAGTGGATTTAAAGAAGTAGTTGAGTAATGGGGTTTATACAGGGTTTGGCAATCGTGGTTGATAACGAGCTCGAGGACAGACCTCCAAACATCACATCACTGGACTGTGGGATTCAGACGCAATGTTATGAAGGTGAGAGGAGACAGCATCAGGAATGTGAATTTTTTTTAAGCTAGACTACTACAAAGTCTGATGGTTGAAGAATGCAAAAACAGATTATGTATATTTGTAAATTTGTACTGCTTTTTCTGTACATTTTGTACTGATCTATTTCAGATTAAATAAACAGAGTGGTTATTTTTATTTGCTGGAGTGGATTATGGAGTGGCAAGCATGCACAGGGTAATTCTCTTTAAAGACAGTTCAGATTTTGGCCTCTAAAATTCTTAAAAACTCAAGAAAAAGCCTCAGCTGCCTAGGGCAGCGAGCCCTTGAACTACCTCCCTGCCACTGTTAGACAAATGCCATCTCTTTCTTAAATGTAAATACATACACAAAAGCAGAAAGACAGTACTTGAGTAGCTAGTAAAACAAAGTTACAGTTTTATTACCGAGTTTGATTTAAAAACCTCAGTTTCTCAGCAAGTCAGTACTTACTATGGGGAGTACATGACACAGCTTAAGCTATCCAAGCCAGGGGAGATGCTGAGTCCTGCTACAACAGGCAGGCACCTCTCCCTTTGCTTCAGCAGAAACAGCACCATCTTTACAGTGCTGCCAGCAGGGGCGTCAATGTCTGATTTCATTGGGACATTTCACTCTGCATGCAGTTACAATCCTAACACCCCACGGCAAGGCCTCCCAACCAAATATGCCACAGGCTCCCACATACCTTCAACAACCCATGCCAGTTGGCTTCTAGCCAGCAGGCTTCACAGGCTGGCCTATGCAATGTCCTGGGCAAGGAGGTGGGATCAGGAGTGGGCAGCGATGAATAGTTGTTACTGGAGCACTGATTTTGGAGACTAAGTGGATTTACAGAAACCCCATAGAGGAGCAAGGAGAAGAAACGCCTAGTCTGTCTGCAGCCAGCTATCCTAGACTGAGGCCAACAGCTTTAGACAGATGAGACTTTGCTCACACAAGCACCATAACTCACGAGTGTCACCTTGCCAGACGTAGGCTTTATTTGTGAACACACTCTTCTCCATAAAACTTCCAGCACACCTCCACTCACTGCCCTACTCTGCAAGCCACTACACTACATGTTTCTGCACAATTACCCGGACACTGGAACCACACCTTGCAGGAAACAGAAATGACATCAGCACTGGCTAACTCTGTTTGTTTATCATCCTGAGAAGCAGTCCAATTGTTCAGGCACCAAAGTGGCCAGAACAATGCGCTTAAGGAAACGGAGGGAGAAGAAACCTTTCAATCAGTTCCTGATGCACTGCATCTACTTAAAGGGCAAAGATGCAGACCACAAATTTTTTACATCAAGTCAAACAAGTAGCAAGAAGAATCTCTCGCATTCAAGAGCCTTTCTCTATATGCTAGTTACCAAACAACTTCTGTCATGCTCAAGGTAGGTTATTCTCTGGCCAAGGCAAGATAATGTGTCATTCAGAAAATTGCACCAAACACATCTTCCTTCTTCTCTGGTTACAGCATCATTTTGGAGGCAAGTCAGTAAATGATAAACCACTGTATGTGTGTATGTATTACACCCTAATATCTATAATAGAACAGAATCAAATCACAAAGTCAATAAGTAAAATAATAACATAAAGGAAAAATATTTCATTATTTGTTGAATGAAGCAAAAGCTGTTGTGACTTACAGCAGCATTATATAGAACTGTCAGGCTACTGAGAACTTCATCTATTCTGCTCAATCCAGTTACTAAGAGCTCAGAGATGACCCACTGCAAGATTTCTGCAATATTTTATATGCTGTAACTTCCACTTCTCAATTTGTTGTCAGATGCAAATAGAGAACTGGAATATTCATAGTAAAGCTGTACTCAAGAGTATCTTGAGTACAGTAGCTTACATAATTTTTATATTGGTTTAATCAAAAGAAAACTTCAGTCAACATTTGGAAGAGCTCTGAAAATGCTCTGCTGACTATAAATCTGTTAAGATTGCTTTTTTGGCAGCCAGATTAGGTTTACTGAGGCATTAACAGGAAGGAAAATGGAAAGGCAGAAGGCAGCAAAATGAACACTCTCATAGACAACACTGCCAGACCAGGACATAAAGAAGGAAATGATGCAGTAAAAATGATGTGACGTGGAAACTGCTCAGGCCTAGGTGAGACAGCTGTTATGCTGTGACTGCAACATACCATGCTGAGCACACATTCAGTGTAACCTTGGGCTTCCTTCCCATTTGCAGTAACCATCTCATGTTACTGTTTAGTTTTAAGAGTTGCAGGACAGGGATGGCCGTTGGGATGTGTGTCTGGCAGGTCAGGTCAGTCAGTCCTACTGTAACACAATCCCAGACATATCCTAGCAAGTGACAGATCCTGGGGTCTTCTTTACAGCCATTGATCACGAAACAGAATGGGAAGCAGATTTTTTCCTTTTTTTTTTTTTTTTTTTTTTTTTTTTTGAAAGGGAAGCCTTTTTTTTCCTTTTTTTTTTTTTTTTTTTTTTTTCTTTTTCCACTGCACTATTATTCTTCACAGGCCACTGAGGGTAAACTTCATCTACCGGCTTGCTGTTGTAAGGTTTAGTACAGAAATGTTTAAAACTTGAGAAACCGTAAGAGCTAGACTTCAAAGACATGTGTTCTTAGAAACATTTTTAATAAAAAAGGAATGCACTTGTACAACTGAAACTTTCCATGTTAGAAATGTTGCATTGAGTTTGCACTAACTCCAGAAGACCTATGACAGGGTGGAGAGACAGTCTCCTGACCTTGGCCAGAATCCCAGCATGACCTTTCAGATGTGGTGAACTACCATTCAGCAGTCTCACGCCCACGGCTTTCCTCACTTGAAGACCAGAAGAATAATTCTTCTCCAGGCTAAATAAAGTAGTAAGGGAGGAACTGGGCTGGCTGGAGGGTGGGGGAAGACTCAACACTGGGTAAAGATGGGATGGAGGCTCCTGTTGACAATTGGTTCAGCCCTCAAGCTTGAGTCTTAGCTTTTTTGCAGGCTGGCAATGTTGTTTCTTCCTCCTCAACCTTGCGAGGCTTCTTCACCGTGTACACTACCCCACAGGCACTCCTCCGAGTTTCTGGAACACACGAGCAGAAGCTGCAGTACCTCAAATAAAATAACACTAATGCATTTAATGCATACTCATTTCAGGTGTCCATACCCCAAAGCAGTTCAACATGTTTAACAGCCAGCCAGTCAGCACACACAGCAGGTAAGCAACCTGCATGGGCAGGAGCTGGGGATATGCTGCATTACAGAGTGGGGAAACTAAAGGGGGAAATCTGATGGTGGGTGTAGAATTACAGCAAACGTAAGGGAAAACTGAGGTCTGCAGGGGTTGAGGGGCTGCAGACACACAAAACCATAGGAAATTAGGCTTAATCAGTTCAAGAGTCACAGAAGGACACATTCTTGAAGCATTGTCAAAAGCATTTCTGAACAAAACACAATGTTCTTAAAAATAAAGTATCCACATACCCCAGGATTCTTAAACAGGCTATGCTGGCACAGCTATATTGGCAGAGGCTTCCCTATACATACCAAGCAAGTGGCTTTATGGTATTCAAGAATATTTGATTTACAGAACCCTCAGCATTACCATAAATTACTACTGTGTGATGTTACCAAACTCCTCACATGTTTGCCAAACAACCTTGTGAGCCCAACCTAATTTCATAACTACCAGTGGGAGGCTTCTCTGCAAAATTTGAGGTAAAAGAGATACCTTAACAATACTCTGTTAGCAAAGAGGCTCTGGAAGAATCTTGCCAAAGTATATTGTGTTATTCTGGGCTAGTATTCTTTGGGGGACAGGGAAATGACATCTGCTATTTAGTTTCACATACAAGATAGATGATAGTCTTGAGAAATTCCACACAAACTTGACAAAAATTCTTCCAACACACTGTCTCTAGGTAGATAACTAGCAGGTTGGAGCCTACCTGCTGTGAATTACAGCAGGTTCAAGCCCCTCCTCTACTGAAACAAGAGATACAAACCAAATCCTACTGTGCATTTGAAACTTAGAGCAACTCAAGCTGTTGAGAAGGTAACAAGAAATCATACCTGCCCAGCAAACCTTGTCAGAGGAAGAAATTAAAGAGCTGGATGTGACTAGTCAGTCACAAAGTTAAACTGCCATCAGAATAAACAACAAAAATCAAGAAACACTAAGAACCAATAAACAAGCACGTGAAAGGGAGGGTAGAGATGGAGAAATTTGCGCTACAATGGAAAGCAAGGGTCTAAATTGATTGCTGGAGCACAAACTGTGGCATCTCTTTGCTGCATTGACACCAGGACACAAAATACAACTGGAAAACTTCTGATTTCCAGTGCAGCGGATTACAAGCTAAATTTCCATTTTCTTAATATTAAAAATGGGCAAGTAAAAGAGAGCTACGGTGAGCTGCCTCTGTTGAGAGTATAAGGAATCAAGTTTTGTTTCACCCAAACACTTCAAGCCATCGGACACTAGACGAAACATTTTTTTCTAAGCAGAGAGCACTCAGGGTATTTGATTTTGCATCATTTGAAATGGTCTGCACTGAAAAATGAGTCAGAAATAGACCACATAATAAAGCATCAGAAAGGGACATGGCAAAGGTTGCTTCTGTACTCATGCAGCAAGAGGGTAAATGCAACACATGCATCCTGATTTTCTTGAAGTCAATCACGTAGTTTCTGCTGGTGTCAATGAACAACATTGAACCTCTTCTGAAACAAGGGATAGTTTTACTACGAAGCACAATGGGCTGTGTTTTGGCTAAACAGTTTATGACTTGCTAATGTGGTTAACCAAGTACTCCAGTACAGAGAGCACCACTATTTCAGACGCTGATTTGCTAACATGGCAACAAGGGAAAATAAAACATCCTTGCCATACAAGCTCCTCTTGATGCATTGGACAAGAGAGCTAAAACCCCAAGCTGACTTGCTCTATAAGGTCTCAGAACTTTTGGAAAATATGCATTAACATGAACTTAGTTTAACAAATGCACATGTTACTTACACAAGCTTGCATGCGCTTTTCACTTACCTCCATGAAGCATGGTGGCTCTGCAGTTGGTAGACACAGCTGCCTTGGCTTCGCTTTCTGACAGGCCAAACAGCAAACCTCTGTCACCTTTGTTCAGGATCAAAATGCACAGAAAGGAACAAACAGAATAATGAAGTCTGTTTGCACGATAGTTTGCTTACTCTACAAATAACTGGGAATTAGCAAAGCCATAACTCAAAGTGACATTTTGCATAAGGTTACCCAGAGGTAGGGAACTGAGGCACCCAATTCTCCTGGTTGCAGTTCCCCAGCAGCCCTCCTGGAAAGCTCCTGGCAACATTGCTTTTTTCCAGACAAGAAGCTGTCCTTTTCAAAAGGAAAGTCTATCAATACAGGAACATTTTTATATGCATAATCAAGCAAAAACTTACCCCATTGAAAATTTCAGTTCTGGGGAAAGGGCACTATCTGATACAAAAGCATTATGCTGAAAAGTTCCCAGCCACCTTGAGCAGGGATGACACCAGATTAAGTATGTTAATTTGGGTTGAGCCTGACTGCTCTTTTTAAGAGGGAAGGAAACCTTGCACATAAAATCCTTCCAGGCTGCACACCCTCCCACACGGTTCTCATGACTCAGAGCACGCTCCTCCCCTTCAAGGGACAGTCCAGATATTCGCTTGTGGGACAGGGAGGGGGGGGAGTAGTAAAAATGCATCTGAATTCCTAAAAGAAGAGGAGAAAAGACATTCTCCCTGATTTCTAGAACACAACCACTTATTTAACAGCACATATGTAACTAAGGACTGGCAAATTCAGAACAGAAGTAACCAGCACTCAGATAGGTACTTTTTCATTCTTAATATAAACACGATTTTATAGCTTCTTCTACCAAAGATGTGGCACCTTGGACATCATAAGTAATAATTTCTGGTTCACAGTGTCCATAGATTTTTATGTTTTTTATTTATTTCTCCACTTACACCCACACAGTATCAATGCATCCCAAGCACAAATCCAGGCTGGGTGGATAATGGATCGAGAGCAGCCCTGAGGAGGACTTAGGGGTGTTGGTTGACGAGAAGCTCGACATGACCCAGCAACGTGCACTTGCAGCCCAGAAACCCTACCATATCCTGGGGTGCCTCACAAGCAGCATGACCAGCAGGTGGAGGGAGGGGATTCTCCCCCTCTACTCCACTCTCATGAGATCCCACCTGCAGTACTACCTTCAGCTCTAGGGCGCCCAACACAAGAAGGACATGGACCTGTTGGAGCGAGTCCAGAGGAGGCCACGAAGATGATCAGAGGGCTGGAGCACCTCTGCTGTGAGGACAGGCTGAGAGAATTGCGGTTGTTCAGTTTGCAGAAGAAAAGGCTCTGGGGAGACCTTAGAGCAGCCTTCCAGTACCTAAAAGGGGCCTACAAGAAAACTGGAGAGGGACTTTTAAAAAGGGTGTGTAGTGATAGGACAAGGGGCAATGGTTTTAAACCGGAAGAGGGAAGATTTAGATTAGATATTAGGAAGAAATTCTTCCATGTGAGCGTGGTGAGGCACTGGAACAAGTTGCCCAGAAAAGTTGTGGATGCCCCATCCCTGGAAGTGTTCAAGGCCAGGTTGGATGGGGCTTTGAGCAACCAGGTCTGGTGGAAGGTGTCCCTGCTCATGGCAGGGGGGTTGGAACAAGATGATCTCTAAGGTCCTTTCAAACCAAACTATTCTACTATTCTCCATCACAACAAAACATACCTGTAACTGAACAGAGACATTACTATTTACAGTGACTGCTCATGCCACCCCAGGACCAAGATCTCTTGCTCCCTCCCCACCCACTTATAGCCCTGATTCACTGAACTGGTCACCAACAAGGATTGCTGTGTAAAGTTCAAGGACTGTAAAGGACAGTAGTATTTCACAACCACTTTGAACTTTCACATGTTACTATTAACTGCCGTCTTTGACTTGGAAAAAGGATACAGATTAGCCACATCGTAAGGACCTCGTAGTTCTAAAGGCTAAAACAAAACAAAAGAAGGTTGGATATGTGCATGCACTCTCTCGCAAGCTGACAGAGTGCGAGCAGGCAGGACAGGGCTATCAGGAAGGCAAGATTAAATGCTACATAATAGCAAGGTGCTGAAGATGCACTAGGAAATCAAGCAAATACTATTATTTTGGAAAACAGAGTCCCCATCTGGGAGAAAACCGTGATGGAAAATACCATAGCAGCAAAAAAACCCCACCCAACTAAACAAAAAAACCCCCAAAGCCCACAATACAATTCTTTGATAAAACAGACTGATTAAAAAAAAACCACAAGATGGTATCATATTTAAAATTACAATTTTTATATGTTTAATATATAATTAAAGCTGTATTTTCAGCCATAGATAAATCCTCAAATTGTTCTGACTTCAAAAAAAATATCTGGGACTTACCCTTTCAGCTGCACTAGATATAACAATGTTCTGGAAAACAAAAGAGAACAAACGTTCATGTCAGCATCAAGAAATGAGAAAAAAAATTCAGCAAGCAGCAAAGACTTTATGAGCATTAGCTAAATTCAGGCTCAGACCACAATTAAGCATCAGAGTATCTGACGCCCTCAGATATTCTTCTACCACACCCTGCAGTGAACTCTAGCAGGGTGTGGATCTTAATTTGGAGACATGAATAAACACAGGTTATCTCCCTGTCCCCTACAGAGAGAGGGGCACAGGGACAAGCCCTCCCTTGCCGTTACAAACCTCTCACAGATAGATGTTGAGTTGAATAAGGACCACACCTTTTAGAGGGATAGGCTAATCAATATAAATGTCAGTCATGACATTAAGCAAGTACCTATCAGCCTGTATGTCTCATAGTGGACTTTAAAAGGACCTTAAGGGTAAAGCAGAAATGCAGAGTTGCACACACTGTGTTAAGAAGTGTCCCCTCTATTTACACTAGCTGAAAGAGGACCCACACAAATGACAATTCAGCCTGAGCTGTAACAGAAATGGACTTAGGAGTCCAGGATCCCCCAGAAGCAGCTTACAGATAGTGCCTTTAGACAGTTTGGTGCTCCCAAATTTTCAGTCTACTCTCTGTGTTGCAGTCCAACTCAATCCTAACCTCAGCATTCATGCTGGCTTTAAACTCACACTGGATGAAGAAACCCATCTGCAGCTAGGCAGCAGCTGCCAATTCATGCCATACGCTTACTTCCCTCAACACTGGCACCCTCATGAAAATCACCAGGCAGAGAAACATCCTTCTCCCTTCTCTCCCAAAGGGTTTCTGCAGAGTAAGTACGTGACTGCTCAGGGGCTGGCAGATACCACAGCTCAGCTTCCAGCATGCTCTCCTAATGTTAAACCTCCAAGGATGCTCACCCAGGGGAAGACTGTTTTGCACAGGTGGAAACTTTGTAGCAGCAAAAAATTCCTTGCACCTTTTATTATACTGAATAAAAGGCTTTGGGAATTCCTGCTTGAGTGGGTGAGAATGAGAATTGTACTGAGGCAGTGAAAGACTTTAACTCTCTGACGTCAGTACCACCAACACATCACACCACCTCCGGTTACAAGGTGGGGCTTTTAATCCCTTCCCCTGCTTTGCTTGTCCTGCCATCTCCCCAGCACAAACAACAGAGCAGACACTGGAAGAAAATGCTCTGTGCACAGCTGGAACGCAACACATAGAAGAGCTATTTGCGTGGAAATGACTGCATGTTCACACTGTGCTCAAAGTTTCCCTGTGCTGAGGGGGAAAGGATGGGACAGACAACTCTGCCTTAGCATAAGGAAAGCCAGAAGCAGAAGCAATACATACATCAAAGTGACTTTACAGCACACATCATGATGGAGCCCAGGACACTTCTTTCTGCATAGTTCACCTTTAAAATGACTGCACTATGGATCCCAAGGGTGCTTTTGAGCTTTAGTGGTGCTGACTGGAAGGGTTTGATGGGAAAATTCAAGACTCCTGCTCTGAGCTGTAGCAATCAACGCCTGTCTCCCAGGCTCAGAGAAGCTCCCAGAGCAGCTGTGCAGACCATCTTGAATCAGCATTGGGATCACGGTTCATTGCTGTGCATTGGAGACATGGTCTGCCTGGTTCAAAGGCAACCGTCTTCCAGTTAGGGATGGGTAAGACGGGAGAAGGAGACAAGAGCAGACAAGAAAAGCACTGCTAGCAAGTGAAGGAGAGGCAGGCAAAGGCAAATCCAAGGGAAGGGCTAGAGGGAAGCACTCAAAGGCAAAACATTATCTCCCCAGGTAAAGGAGGCAGCAGCTGTTCAGTACACTGCTCCAGGCACAGTACCCACACTCAGTTACCAAAACACAGGAGGTGAGGGACTGTGGCTATGCACACCTTCTGTCTGGCAAGGCAGGCAAGTCCCTCCCTCATTCCCTGCACATTTTAACATTTTTTAAGGACTCTGCTCAGTGCGAGCTCTGAGGACACTAGTAAATTTCTGGAAGTTTCTCTGCCCTACTACAACAGAGGAGGAACAAAAGGATGCAAAAGCTGCTACAGGGTCAGCAACTATAGGATACAGAAGGCAAGAGCTGCGTGCCAGGTGCCCATGCAAGCATCTTATGGACCAGCCATCCCATGTCCTGTTAAAAAAAGGCCTTTACGTAACTGATGGAGATAAACTGTCGGTGATGGATGATAACCATCTCTGCTGGCCCACCAGGTACTGAGTCTGGAGGCAAAAAATAAAGACAAGCTATCAGTCCTCTCCCAGCTCTTCCAGTGCCTAACAACAACATGTCATGCCTAGCCCCAGCTGATTTACCTTCCAGGCACAGATGATGCACTAGATTGACAGATGCAGAAAGAAAGGGCACTGTGCACAGACTGAGTGCCTGAATGTCTCACTTGCTCTGTTTGTGACACCAACTCAACTGGTGCTCTCCAAATTAACAACCGCATGAGCAGCACATCTGTAACTGCACAGATGAAAGAGGAGCACTGGCAAAAAAGAATCCCAAAGGAAAGGGGTTTTGTGTGTATGTACCTCATCTCCAAGTCAGTATTTTGTGCAATTAACTCCCAGAGCTGGGCTTCTCAGGAAAGGCCAAGCAAACACTCACTTTCTTCCATAGCACCAAGGTAATTAATCCCTTTGACCACTCTGCTGTCCTATAAAATTGGCTGTCATGCCCGAGGGGAACTGAGGTAACAACAGATCTGCTTTTTGGCCTTCTAAGCTGTATATCCCACTTCAGACTAGATTTGCAGGGTAATGCCAATTTTGGCTTCTCTGGACTAGCTAAGTGTGGTAAAGGCTGTTTCCAATAATGGTAGTTGGAGCTACAATCTCTTTTAACTTGGATATGTATTATGATATGCTTACCTCTTAAAAAAAAAATGGCCTGAGAGGACCCAGCATGACAGGCAGTTTAGCCTGGGAGGAGGTAAGGTATGAAAGCAATGGATTACAGGCGTCTCAGCTGCAAGCGTTACTTCTTCCTTGGGTTTCAGTAGCAGGGAAGAATGCATTTGATCTGACTGCAGCAAAGCCCTGGCTGATAGCCAGCTAGCTGTTGGGTCTGTTTTGTACGCTAGGAATTTACTAACTGTTTAAAAAAAACAAGATTTCTACTTTTTTCTTATTATTTTCTACCCCCCATATTCAAGGTATACTATCAAAAAAGAGCTCTTGGTCAATAAGAAATATGAAACAGGGGATTTAAGAGATGCATGGATTTCAGTTCTAGTGCAAACCTTAGATCTCTGGCACTTTTTTTTCCCCCTTTTGTTTTGGATATTGCATACCATAATAACAGACAGGTTGTTCTGAAAAAAAGAATCTAACGGCCTGACAACTTAAGCAAGCATGCAGTGGTCCATGGCTGGAAGCACCTGGAGCTAGAATAATGTGTCCTTGTATTAGTAGGCAAAGATTCAGTCACAGCTTCAGAAATCCCAGCATCAAACTAATTTAAAATGGCTCAGTTTGTACAACTCCAGAAGAATTTGAACTGAATTAAGTAGCTTGTGTTCACTTTGAGAGCTTACCTTTCCTTTGCAGATCTGCATCAGGCTGATCGCATTTGAAATTGTGTATCTTCTCATTGTGGAGTCTTTGATGGCAGGCGTGTAAAGAAGTTCAAAGTAAATGCCTCGATCTATTGCCTTCACATGAAAGACAGTGATCAAAAATCAAAAGGAGAGAAGCATAACAATCTAACAACTGGTGTCTATTATTGATGTAGCTTATTCTCAGTTTAACTGTGTTATATATGAAAAAAATCAAGGTGGAATTGTTCCAGCAAGAGCATAGCATAGCATGAAAGGGGCAGGGGGTAAGGTTTCACTGTACACCAGATCTGTGTACTTGAATCTTGGGATGACAAATAAATGAGGTTTAACAAACAAAGAAATACCAGCCACTTATTAGCTGTAATTGGCTTTCCACTACCACAGAGTTGAGGAGACAGGTAACCACTGCTGGTCAGAAACAAGTCTTGAAATTTTGAGGACTCTCCTCGTCTATCCCCACAGCCTGCTGTAAGGACAACCACTGCTTCCAATAGTACCCACACCTTCCAGATGAAGAATTTTTCCTTGCATAAAAGCACCAACGAGGACCCTTCCCTCCCGTCTCACGGCATACTCTGTTATTTGTGACAATGTTAAATAAAAGTGAGTCACAAGAGAGGTTCCAAATAATAATACTGATTATACTTTCAGCTGCTTTAAAATCCTTTGCTATCTGTCCAAGTACCTCACCAAAAGCCTACTATTCTTGTTTTTGCAAACACACAGAGAAAGGTTAAGCAACTTGCTACAGGACACAGTGAGTTAGCAATAAAGACGCAATTCAAAGCTAGGAGTTCTTTGTTCCATGGCCTATACTACATTTGCCTGAAATGTTACTCTATGCTTTACACTCATATTATTAAAAAATGCTGCAATCTTAATACTATAAGATGGTCCAGTAACTGAATACAGATGGAATTAATCCAGCTGCCATCCATGCATGACCTCTGCATGCAAGCACAACAGAAGCTATGTACGTATCAAATGTTTTACACAGAACTGGTCTGAGATCTGCAAACAAGAAGAGAAGCCTGAATTTATCAAAACCAAGGCAGGTGATGACAATGCACCAATTTCCAGTCAAGCAGATTTTTAACCTCATCCCCACCACTTCAGTTGCCTGCCAATCTGTCTCTCTGGCATCACAACCACCAAAACTGACTGCCCCAGGACGCACAAACCCAGACAGACTGCCTTGAAGCTGGGAAGTAGCTTATAAGGAAAATGTCTCCAAACACAGGGCTCCAAGAGCCACCCAGCTCCTCACTTGGGTCAGCTGCTGGAGTTTTAGGCAGCTAGGGTACTTTCAAACAACATTTTATACAAAGTTGTTATTCCAAGTGGAACGTTAAAATTCCCAGGCTATAGTAAATTCCAAATTATTACTTTCGTTTTGTTTCAGGATTAATCCTAGTTCATTTTTAATTTTTATTCTAGGTCAAACTTTCTGTACAAGAGGAATTAGGATTTCTAGCCAATTCCAAATTTAAATTTTTAAGCACTAAGGACTGCATCAGCCAAGAATGCCCATGTGGAATGAACCTTGACATATACCTAAAGAGTAAAAAACTAGTTCACCTAAAAGCGTGTTGCAATTAAGCTTACTGGCAAACCATGCACAGTAGGCAGAACTGTATTAATAAAATATTTGATCCATGCTGATAGTCATGATCCATGCTGAAGCTGATGTCCCACAGCAGATATTTAGCAATTCCACATTTGGTTCATTTGCCAAGACATTCCTTTGTCTAAGTAGGGATTCAATACAGTTGTCCTCCAAATAACTGGCATGACATCCTTTTCCCAAATTTACACTGTCATTCACATTTTCCTGTCTTTTAAATCACAGGGCTGTTTATCTATTCTGACACAGCTGTACCACTTCTGGTTTGGGAAGTAGCTTTGTCAGCAAACACACCACATCTCACTGCTTAGCATAGTAGTGGCCTTAAGGCTCTGTTTCCATTCCTTGGGAACACCACTTCTGCCTTCTTAAGTGGGGGACAGGAAAGAGAAAAAGAAAGAACATACATCACTGTGTATTAAATGCTGCAGTGGAGGCTTTGAAGTGAAGGACATCTGAAACAACACTATACATTATGCAAGAAAAGAAAAGAACCAATGGGATGGGAATGGTGGGATGGAAATGCTAGGGAATTCAACTCAGACTGACATAAATGCACAATTTAACAGCAAGAAAACAATTTAGATATAAATTTACCATATTCACAGGGGGCCTTCGGAAGTAGAATGGCAGTTTTTCTGTTACATTTATGCATACCAGATCCACATCCAGAGTTGTGCAAGCAATCTACAGCAAAGAAACAGGAACAGATTATTAGATATGCCAAAAAATGCATAAGCAACTTTAGGTGCACTAATGTCTCCTTAATTTCTTAATGCAATAAATGTCTCTCCAGGGTGAGTTCAGTTTTAAAATGAAGAGGTACTATGCCTTGTAGGTATACCAATAAATCAGCAGGGCTACACATGCACAGCTTGAGCATTTCAGGCTTAAAACCCAAGCCTTCTCTCACTTACAGAACTACTTTTCCAATAAAATAATGACCAATCCAAAGGCAAGAATTATTGCTTTGTTTTTATCTGATGTAGGACATGCAGAAGCAATGCTGGTTTTTGGCAAAAGAATTCAGAGCTAACGAGGGACAACCTCTGTTTACAAAGGGAACAGCCCAGGAACTGCCCCTTACTCCATCACTCTCTAATTCCAGTGTAGCAACTGTTTGTTTTCAGGATCAATTATTTTTACCAGAAGCAACTAACAAAAGACTGAAAGAAAAGCAAAATGTCAGCCAGTGACTGGTGGTGTCTCACGCCCAGTACCGGAGGCCGATGGACAGGGCCTCACTTTCCTGGCTGGGTGTGGAACATGGAGCCCTTCCTGCAAACCACGTCTCTGGAGAGTCTGAAGATGGCACCGAAGTTTATAGTTTAAAAGCTTAGCTTTGAACTCACACCACAATTTACAGCCTGTATTAAAAGACAGAAGGAATGAACAAAGGGCAGAGAACCTCCACACTGACATACAGAGAAAATCAAGTGCACATAAAAGGGAGCCCCTGATTTACATATAAGCTCATGCCTGCAAGATATGTAGGAATTATATATGCCTACCCTGTAAAGATGATTACACAGGGCCAGATTAATGTCTGTAAGCAGCATTGTAACAAAGAAGATAAAATAGGTTGAAGAACTTGAAAAGGAATTTTCTACACATAGGGGAACTCTCTACATTCAGAAACCTGCCAGCAACTGCTCCAAATACACCTGGGCCAGGCGCCAACCATTCATCCCTCCTCGCACCAGCACGAAAGCGGTGGGGGTTGCAGGGATTTCCAGGGCTGGGCTGCTCTAACGCTGGGCAGGCTGCTGCTTTGCAAACTAGTCTTCTACCAGTTTGTTCACGCGAAATTTGGATGGAGATGAGAGCACAGGCCCAGCTTTAGGAATGTTTCTTAGCTGCTGACTGCACTCCCTCCTAGACAGGAGTGCCACAGCACACATGGCAATTCAAAGATCCAGCAAACCACAAGGTTTTTGATGTTAAAAAGTCCCTACCAGGCCATTCAGACTGAACTTTATCTTCATGCCCTACTTTTACCAACTCTGTTAGGCAGGACACAGTTGGAATTGATGGCATCAAATTAGATTTGCACATGTAAGTTTAGCCCTACTACTTTTCTTATGTGGAGTACAAACTACCACCTAGACAAGGTGATTTACGTGAACGTGCACAGAGCAAATAGCTCTGAATCATGTCCTAGAAAAGATATCAGTGAGGCCACAGGAAATTCAGGAAGAGAGAAAGCCGAAAATGAAGGAAAGCAAGAATACACATCAGAAACATGCAAGTTGCTCTATGTGATAAGAAAACAAGCCTTCCTGAATCAGCTCCAGAAACACTGGAAAACTATTTTCCATTTTGCAAATTAAGCTCAGTGGGAAAGGGAGTGACCTAAATGCCAGGATATCTACAGGATTCCAGTGACAAGAACATTTCAGAAAATACCACCAAGGAAAAACAAAATTAAGAGTCATACTTCCCCATAAGAAGGAATTCCTGCACAGCATGGAAAGTTGGAGAGAAGATTTCTCCAAACACTCCAATGTTCAGCCTAGCTTTGGCTCCTAGACAAGTCACACACAGAGGCAAATTAAGGTTACTCTGTCTGCTGAGAGGATATGAAGTGCAAAAACTTCATACAGAAAACGATATGCAGCAGTTGCACAGCCCAGCGTCTGCCCGGCCTCACTGCAGGCAAGAGCCCCATCTGCTGGGAAACTCCAGACAGCCATAAATAAATAAATTTGCCGCTGCTTGGATGGCCTGAAGAAAGCCTTGGCAAACATTTTAGGAATAAACATCGAAATCTGGCTTTGCACTACATCCTCAGACTTATACAAGCAAGGTTTTTAGATACTGGTGATCTGCTAATTGCTTACAAACTGCAGGCAGAACTAACTAATATCATTAAAACAGTCAGAAATCTTAAAAAGCAAATTTTTTGGAAAGCAACAGGCACAGACCTTATTACTGGCATTTTTTTTTTTGCAGCCCAAAACAATCCTCTTGAGAGACTTTAAGAAGCAGCATGTTCTACAATTATTTTGGCAAACATAACTCTTCAAACCCCTGAGGATATAAATTATTTGGAGATTTTGAGCACAGCTTTCACTACATATCACTGCCACAATCAGTCACAGAAAAGCTTCCCTGGCTTGTGACAAGAGGGCACAGACTGATTTTGGGCCATGCAAAAATTAGAGCATATCTCCAATGGTCATGAAAAATCCTGTTCTATGGAGAATAAACCAAGTGCCATATTGTTGGTGAGAAACATGATGCTCTTGAGGTAATGTTGAACTACCAACAGCTAATTCTAAAATATAAAGTTAATCTGTGGTGCAAGAGCCACCCTAGAAGGCTTCATCCTTAACAGTGAAAGATCCATGAGTCATAAGAGCCAGAGATATATGCTGAAACTTCATCGTAACATCACTTGCACCAGACTCTCTGTCGACACCTCCACAAAATTAAGACAGCTCTCCACAGAAAGTTAGAAAACCTAAAATCTTTAAACAAAAGACAAACATACAAACCTGCCCTGAATGCGAACATGTAAGGATGAAGTCTTTCCCCTCATGCAGTTTGCAAGAAACATGCTTGGGTTCCCTCCCCAGCTCAAAGTGCTGCCAGCATGGAAGCAAAGACGACAGTCTCATTAAGAGTCCTGCTTGCTTCCTTCCTAACACTGTCCAGCACCTGCAAGAGTGTCAGCTTAAAGAGTCGCTACGTGCGTTAGCCTGCCCAAAGCACAGCTGTTCTCTTTGTGCTGGCACAACTATCCACGTGGCTGAATGCTGAATCAGAGTGGGAAAGCAGATCTGTCTGCAAAATAAACTTGGCAAAAACTCTGGTTACTTTTCAGCCAAAAGCATGTTCCTCAAACCAAACTGCCATGCAGCTAAGCAAGCAGCTTCACCAGCAGAGCAGACAGGGACCCGCAGAAAGGAGTGGCTGTTTATGCCAGCTTAAACACTGCCACAGCTGGATGTCCAACTGCAGCAGAATTCACAACACAACACAGCTAAAAATAAAAAATACCCACCCTTAAATGAGAAAGCGCCCTTTCCCCCCAAAACAACACAGCATGCCCCTGCTGATCACCTGGTTTCAGGTGCTTGTTTAAACACCTGATAAACTGATCACGCTCACTTGAGAAGTGAGATTTTATATTGCTGCCAGAGACCAAAAGAAAGAGGTGGAGAGTGGCCCTGCAAAGTATTTTACAACTATTCTCCTCTCTCACACCTCCAAGAGTCCTAAAATCTTACAAGGGAAATAAAAGCTGTCAGAAATGAGTTTCATCAAGCTGTAACTGTTATAATTAATGCTTGAATTATTCTGCTGAAAGATTCTTTACAATTCACCTTCTTCTACAGCCTTTTGCTTTGTACTTTAACTTGAAAACTCAAGTTTTCAAAAAGGAGGGGAAATAATTTAGAAAAACAAAACAGAAACATATAATTTTTATGTGTCAAAACAGGTATTCAGCAGTACTAGAAAGTAGCTTTAATTTATTTAAAAACCAAAAACTACAGACTCAGTTTTATACGGACAAGATCTCTTGGAAAGTAAATTCTGGAACTCCTCCAAAGAGACTAATGTTTGCTTTTGGTGTCCCTGTGCCTTCTTCACACTGCTTTAAACTGCATGCCTGCTTGCTGCCTGCCAAGGCTAACAGAGACAGGACAGTTCCACCTACTCTTCCAGTTCAGTGTTAATGCTATTATTTATGGGTTTGCAACAGGTCAGATGTCACAATTTTGGGTTTTGTAAGAAAAAAATTCTGACAAAAAGGTAACTTGCTTCCAGATGCTCCATTCAATTACACCACTCACATCAGCTGCTACGAAGTATTTGAGAACAATCTAATTAAAAATATAGTGAGACAGAGATAACAAACACTTATCACCCAACACACCAAGCTGAGATCACTCTGCCTCAGATGGTGTTTTAAAACTAGCTGGAAGACAACATGACACTTGGTGCTGTCAGTAACTGCTGAAGAATTACTGCACATCACTGTATTTAGGCATCACCTCTAAATAATAAATGTCTTCTTCAATCACACACCAGAAATGGACCGAACCAGTTCATGGTCAAACACACTTGCAACACCTTGTTTTTCTAAAATTACAGAAGTGACAGAGTATTGGGGGTTCTGTTCAAAATATTTGTATTTCTATTAACATAAACCAACGTGAGAAACAACAGCATTGGGCTAAGGTCACAAATCAGTCCTAACTAAGGTTTAGAAAGTGATTCACACCAATTATTTTATCCCACTAGCACGCTTGGAGCCCTACCACTGCTACAAAAGTGAGCATCTGTTCGGTAACACTGATACAGCAAAACCTTCAAAGATTCACAAATTTTGTGGAGGCAGCTTTCAGTTGCAGGTTTGCTCTGAACAGCCAGGATAAAATCCAAGTGAGAAAATGACCGCCTACCCTTCAAGTATTTCACCCGAGGCTGCTCTACTTTCATACAGCTTGAATGGTTTCCTCAGCAGGCAAAGTAACAAATATATCATGAAGTCACAGAAGTGAAGCTTCTCTCACTCAATTTGAGCATTCAAAACACTCAAAATAAGAAAAAGCAGAAATCTCAGTCTGGCAATGGAGCACGGGCCATTATGTTTAATCAGTCATGTTTACTTTTGGAAATTTAATTTTATTTGTTCATAAGATGCTATGACAACTGGGACTAGCTCTGTCTCGTAAGCTCTTGCTCCTCTTTTGATTTAAAATAATGCAATAAAAGGAAAAATTAAAGAAAAAGAGATTAGCTATTAATTTGAATGAACTCCCAAGAGAAGACCTAAAACTAAAAGGAAGAAGGTAACTCTCAGAACCACGTCAGTTCTGCTTTAAAATATTCCCACTTTCTCTGGCATTTCAGAGACCAGGAACAAGTAATGCTAATAGAAGACAGCAAATGTGTTTTGGGGAAGCTGTAAGAGTTTGAGAAGTTAAAGTTCAAGATAGAAGTTTCCTACACGCTGACAGCATATATATATTAGAAAAAAAGAAGGTTGTTTTCTCTCCTCATAGCGCAGGGGCATACAAGTCCATTCATCAGGTAAATGTTTCAGACTTTAACCAGTCACCTCAAGGCCTTGCAGCCTCCTGCAATCCCTCCCAATCCTCTCACTCTGTCAACTGACCAGGTAGCCTACGTTGCTTCATTAGCCCCATGACATGCAGGCCTGTATAAAATGGGAAATAAAATCAAAACAAAGCATGTACTCAAACTAGCCCAAGGCACTAAAAGTTATTGAATGAGCTTTACCAACCAGATAATTGTACTTACATGGAACAGCTTCTCAGTCTTCGGAAATACTGCTATGATGTCATAAAACCTTATATTTGCAGATGTTGATCGCTACAATAGGAGGAAACAATTATTACCCTGAATTCTGGCAGACGCCAAAGCTACGCACAATGATTACAACCAAAATAATGAGAAGAAAATCCCCTTTTCACTTTCAAGTACTAAACCAAAGCCAATAATCACCCAATTACATAGTAGGTCTCTGCTGTGAACCATACTGTGAAGTCATTCATCCTCATTTTGAGGCTTGTCCCACCCACCTAGTAAGGCACTTATACCTTTTGCTTTGATCATGTAGCGCTAAAACATAAACACACAGGGCTTGCTCATGGTCTTCTAGTTTTGGCACTGAAGTCCAGAAATCAAAGACAAGAATTGAGGAACAGAACTGTTGTCCCATATTGACAAATGATCAACAGAAGCCATATCCAGTCTTGTAAGTCTGCATCTCTTCATCATCACATTATTTGCTAAAGACGCAATCTGAGAAATCACTGCTGAGTGTCCTATAAAATCCATTAAGTTCTCCCCATACAATTTCCAAAGTTTCATTCATTCAGGAAACAAAAACTGGAAAAGTAACATATTAAATATACTTACCAAGAGGTTACAGTGGGAAGGATCAGAAACAACAAGTGTTAGCCGGGTTAAGACTTTAATTCTTTTAGACGTCCCCTACAAAAAAAAAGAAATAATACAAAAGACTTAAAAAACTCCAAAGCAAAAATTTGTCATGACTTTTACCCTGTCCACTACAAAAAGAAAATGGCGCCTTGCTCATATTCTTGCCTGTGCTAATGTTCTAAAGTCTGTAGTTAGCTACACTTCCCTATTTTATATTGATCTCCTTGACATTACACCTGCCCTTTACAAAGAATGATTTATTGTGTTTCTCTGAGGAAGGGTCAATTGAAAGGAGAAAGAAAGAACAAAAAAATGTAAAATCATGGAGAAAAACCAAGTATGTTTTAATACTGCTATGGTTCCCCAGGCAGGCTATAACTGCAAGCAAAAGCAGTTCCTGAATTAACATATGTCAATGATTTGACATACAGACTTGGTTCATTATATCCAAATCTTGCTCCATCAAAACCAGGAAGTTATTTCCAAAACTCAAATTTCAAGAATTATACTGTAATTATTCAAGTACAAGAAGATGCAAAATTCACACAAAGCAATTTTTTAATTAATTTATAAAACAATGACTAGAGCCTACTCTAATGCGAGTGTATCCTTCTTCCAATGCTAGGAGTTTTAACAATCAAGCAATGGACAAATTTCTCTTTTTTGATTAACATGTAATACTCAAAATCACATATGCAAACACACCAAGGTAAAAAATGTAACTCAGAATAATAATGCATACATAGAACGTAACTAGACATACTTGTACAATAGGCAAAGATGGAAACAACTCTGAAGGAGATACTGGCTTGACAATTTCCTTAAAAGAGAACAAAACAAAGTTATTCAAAATGTCATGGGTTAAGTTTACAAAATAAACAAAAGCTGTGTTCCAATCCCCAAAAGAAATTTGCAATGCTTACAAAACTATTTCCCAGGGACAACACACAGACCACATTAAGACAAGAAGCATGACCAGCAGGTCGAGGAAGGTGATTCTCCCCCTCTACTCGACTCTTGTTAGACCCCACCTGCAGTACTGCCTTCAGCTCTGGGGCCCCCAACACAAGAAGGACACAGACCTGTTGGAGCGAGTCCAGAGGAGGCCACGAAGATGATCAGAGGGCTGGAGCACCTCTGCTGTGAGGACAGGCTGAGAGAGTTGGCGTTGTTCAGCCTGGAGAAGAGAAGGCTCCAGGCAGACCTTCAAGCAGCCTTCCAGTACTTAAAGGGGGCTTATAAGATGGGGACAAACTTTTTAGCAAGGCCTGTTGTGACAGGACAAGGGGTAATGGTTTTAAACTAAAGGAAGGCAGATTCAGACTAGATATAAGAAAGACATTTTTCACACTGAGGGTGGTGAAACACTGGAAGAGGTTGCCCTGAGAGGTGGTAGATGTCCCGTCCCTGGAAACATTCAAGAACAGGCTGGATGGGGCTCTGAGCAACCTGATCTAGTTGAAGATGTCCTGCTCATAGCAGGGGGGTTGGACTTTAAAGGTTCCTTGCAATCCAAAGTATTCTATGATTCTATACTAAGTTAACTCCAGGGCAATTATACAGAGTTATAAAATGGGATTTCTGCCACAAATGTAGACATTTGTACTTGCATGGAGGTCTGCATTCTGCAGATAAAGCTATTTGGGAACATGTAATAGGGAATGTAGGTTTACAGGAGAAAACACACTAAGAACAAATAACCCCAACAAAAATTACCTGTTTCTTTTCTTTAAAATCAATGACATGATTAAGAGCAACTGCAGAATATCCCACTGAAAAAGTAAACAAATAGTAAGAATATTTTGTCCAGTAAACTAATGGAAACAAATCCAAACAGAAACCTGTTAAACACTCATCAGTTAAATGTTTCAAAATTAATAATCATGGGCATATTTACCTTTCACATTATTTTTTTCTGAAGATTAATTCACCCAAAAAAGTGCCCTAAAATAAAAAAAAAATCTGTTTGCCTTTTAATACACCCCAACCTTGACAGCACCTACTTGATAGCAGAACTTTATGAACATGAATATTTGGGGTTGGGGTCCCCAAAGATTTTGCCCTAGTTTGGTCCTGTTGATGACTTCCTTTGGGGAAAATGGCTAAGGACATTCAGGATAATTGTTAAAACTGCAGACAATGCAGAGCTGGGAGAGATGCAGCTACAGAAGGCAAGGTGAGCATTCAAAATGATGCTGACAAAATTGACAAAAAGGTCTCATTTAGCAGGGATCAGAGAAAGAAGGTACACTTGGCAAAGCCAAATCACCCCCCAAACACTGGACAGTCAGCACCTGGCTGTACAACAGTTCTGCACAAAAAAGATACAGGCCATAAGAAACCGCGGGTCGAGAAACGTGTCCACATTGGGAAAAATCAACTGTTACACTGGGATAAACAGGCAGAGACAGAGCCTGCAAGACACAACACGGGCTTTCCTCGCTACTCAGCACTGGGAAGACCTCGGTCCTGGTCACTTCACTTGCAGAAAACCGCAAGTTGTGCGGAGAGGAGCAAAGAGAAACGTGACCCGCCAGGGAAGCAGATGGCGAGGTTTACCCTACAGGGAGGGAAAACGCAGCCTACAGAGTCACGCTGTGCTCACACCGGCCCGGCCGAGCTGCCGCCCGCGTTCTGCTGCCCTCCCGGTCGGGCCTAGCCCTCCCCAGCTGAGGCCC